TTCCTGCCTCATGCCCCGGGCGAGAGGCGCACGCAATCAATGTTGTTATTGTTCTAAGGAAGTGCTACCTGACGTATCAAGGACAGCACCTGCCAGAATGCAAAACCAGTCTGAGTAAAATATGCATTTGTTCCGCGTTCCCTCTTGTGCAATCCATGCAAACCACGACCAATTTCAAGTTCCGATTGTTACCGGCCATGGAATAGAGCGAGCTTTGCCTGGTTTGGAATGATGAAGAGGCCACGGAACAGAGCAAAAAGTTCCTCCAGGAAGGTCACTACAAGACGCCAACATGGAAGCTTTGTATGGCAGCGCGTCCGTGTCCAAACCCAATGACCACATTGGATGGCAGCTGCAAGGCCATCTATCAGGATGTTAACACAAAAAAGCTTAAAACCCCGCTCTAGCCAATGCCAGACTTCACATCGCAAGGTTCGGGGGAAAAAAAAAAAAAAAAAAACATGAACCAATGCGCACAGTAGTGCGATCAGTGACTAAGTCAGCAACGAGGACGAGGTGCCATAAACTAGCCGGAATGCCAGCCCTGGCCGTGAAGTGTTAACAAAGCACCATCACGCCAGGCATCATCGAATGCCTTCTTGATGTCCAAAAAATCACAACAAGTACCGTCACCCTCGCAACCGGAGGGTCTCAAGCAAAGCCTAGGCTTGGGCATCCGAACCCCACCTGAAGCCAGCTTGAAAGTTATCCGGTTGCGCGTCGCCTGCCGGTTTGACGCGGTTCAAAACAGGTCTTTTCACCATTTTGGCAAAACTCTGCGTGAGTGTTATGGGCCGGTATTCATCACAATCACTGGTGTGGGCAATGAGACAACTATACCATGATATACCATTCTTTCATACACAATCACTGGCGGTGGAGTTTTTGGCCAATGGGACAACTATACCATGCTTTCACATGGAGGCAAACAACGATAACGCGCGACAGAGTTCTAAAAATTGAAGGACAGCATCCTGCCTCCACGGGATGTCAACACAAAAGGCTTTATCAGCAATCTCATCATCACCGGGGATTTTATCCAGAACGCAGCTGTAAGTTCGGGCAGAGTGGCAGGGGCATCATCATTTGGGGCAGTAAAAGAACTTCGTTCCCAAGCTTGGTTTCCTTGACATAATGTTATCGGTAAACTTCCTTTGATTTAGGCTTTGCTCTTCAGGGACATATCCAAGAGGTTCAGCACATGCTGCAAAAGTGAACTGTAGCTGTGGGCAGGTAGTGGTTGAGTGTTATGAGCGGGTCACTTATGTCGCATCTCTGTACGGCCTTGGCAGGGGCGATGGGCTGCCGAGGGGTCTCAAGCGCTCAAACGTGTTATCGTAGCGTTATCAATTAAAATCATCACCTGGACTGCACAAACACTCTGGTCTAACTACTTATGATGAACTGTCCTTATAGGTAGTTTTTCCTCTGGTTATCGGTGAGAGGCATTGTATGAAAATGGCAAGAACTTAAGGGACCTGCCAAGACAACACCAAGAGGCGCGGGGCTCTTTTCCTGTCCCAATTTATGGCAGGAGAACAGTGCACATCACGGGCTGCACGCACATCGAACATGTGTCAAAACAACAGCATGCAAGGGGGCTGATTTCGGAAGTGCGAACGCCATTGAGACATGCACTCATCTCGCAGATGGACTTGACAGCGATTCAGGCTGATTCAGGTGATAATCTGGGAGCAACACGACACGCATTGTTATGGAAGCGACATTGCACTATGCGAGCAGCTGCGCGAGGGGTCAAATTTTCATCGCGACGCAACCAGGACTTCCAGTACACACATGGCCTGGCGTGCAACGCGGTGGAAATGGTGTCAGTCAGAACGAAAGCTTCGCCCGAAGCGGTTTGCCGGCATTTCATGCAAAAAGGTACGGCAACAACTCATCGTTCCACAACAACATACCGCGACAGCTGTCTCTGACAGCATAATGATCACTGGAAAGTAGTGGACAACAAAGCGCACATGAACAGTTGGGAATGTGAACACGAGCTGATTCTGAAGACTAGTCAACCGCCCGCCGCCTTTCGCGGAGCTTTTGCTGTCTTTCGCGTGCGTAATCAATCTCTGATTTGGGATCATGTTGTTCTCGTTAAGAAGACCAAGAAAAATCATGAATCCAGGCCTTTCGCTGACCTTTCACCGCATTTTCGTGCGTTTTGCGCTCGCCAAGAAAGCATCCCTGGAACCCTGTGCTGCAAACTCGCTGTATAAAACCAAGGGTTTTAGAACAACTCTCGTAGTATGTTCGCAATATCAACTTGCAGGAATTTTCAAGACAACCGCAATCCGCGCTGATCGTTGCCCGCATGCCGGCACTAACCCTGAATTTGGAAGGATCCCTTCTAAGCTTCGAATTCGGAATAGCGCTTAGTAACTTAGTAAGATCTCCAGAAATCAAAAGTTCCACTCCAAAAGACAGACTTGATTTAACGGAGTCTGGACTATCTAGCGACAGGGGGCAGACATTGGTGTTGTTTATGCAGCAATCTGTTGTCAAACCTACAGCTGACAGTTGCTTCCCAATGTCTTGTTCACTAGGTAGTCAGGTAGTGCTGGTAACAATATGAAAAGGTTCTTGCGAGCTGGATCTCCTCGATGATTTAGCGGTCAGCACTTGACACGTTCGCGTCTTCTGCAGAGGGGACATCCATTGGGGGAGGGTCCACATTTCAGAGGTCTCCTGTGTTGACGGACTTCTCCAAGCCTAGAACGGTGCATTGACAACGTTGTCATCGGCGATGACGGCCACGACATGCCAAAAAACAACCATCAACAAAATGTCGCGGAAGTTATTGGAAGCATGCTGCGGCCAAGTAGCTTGCTTGAGCGACAGACCGCTGTTTAATCCGGCTTCCAGTGCTGCAGCTTCAGCTGCGTACGCAGCTTGCTGCCTCAGCTACGCGTCAAAATCGGCCCTACGGCCTCCAATTATGGCAAGTACGGTGGGGCCTGGAAGCATGTTCACGCCTTTCGCGGATGACACAGGCAGCTGGCTTCTAGCTGCAGCATGCCACAACATGATCAGCAGAACTTGGCAATTCAGGGTGGTAAGGAGCCAAGGCATGATTGGTTATTGCAAACATGCTATCACGACATATCACGACGAGGACCTGTGCGATGGCGAACAACAACTGAGCACGACTCAATGACTGAACCGACCCAATGGCTAAACCACGTGCATCAGGCAACTGCATTTTGAAGGAGCATGTAGACGGGCAAGCTCTGAGTGCGTACTGCTGCCAAGATGCTCAGTAAGAAAGATCAATCGTGCTGCCTGAATCTGAGCATTACCAAATCAGCACCCCACCAGCGCAGCGCACAAGCTTGCAAGCTCCTTGGCCGCAGCTCTTGCAGCGGACTTCCCAGCCGCAAGCGCCTGGCTGAAGCAATTGATGTACACACTGCTGAAAACAGATCAAATGCCCCGCCTGCTCCTCCAGCGTCAGGCCTTCTGACGCCGCCTGCTTTCTAGCCTTGAGCTGTTTGAACAACCCAATCTGCTATATCAACGGCCTCTGGAATCTTCACCAGGATTTCGGGCAAGACTTGATGAACCACAAAGAGAAAAACCCTTCTGTCCTCTGAATGCCAGGGCTGCAAAAGTGTCCGTGCTTCGCCGCGTTTCATACAGCGGGCGGGTTGAGTCACATCACATCAACTTGGAGGTTTCTCAGAGGCCCGCACTCGGCACCCAAAATTACAAAACTTCCGAGGAAGATAGCCTAGACGCAAATCAAAGCACGCAGCGGCACCGGTGCACAACCGATTGCAGGAGAACGCGGATTGTTGGAAGTGCTGTTGAAGCATTCGCGGTGCTAAGCGTTTACTGACGAAACCCAGCAGGAGTCCTTTCGTATGCGAACTTGACTCCCCCAATCCAGAGACTGGCTGTTGAAACCAACAAGCCCATGCTAAGAAGACACCTGCGGGGCAATGTGCAAGTGCACACGCATGACGGCTGCACAAACGAATTGTGATGTCGCAAGTGTCCCGTCATGTCCAGTCCCAGCATGCCTCGCTGAAGCCCCAGAACAAACATGACAGGAACAGTGACAATACACCGACGCGAAAAATCTTTCCGCAAAGCTTACCCTCACCCGTTGCGACCTTGCACACCCCAAGGGAACTTAACACAACTCTTTTGTAGCTCATCTTCAGGACACACGGCTGGTTACAACATGGCCTACTTCTACGCACCTTTCTCAGGCAAAGACCCAATCTGCAGCAGCATTGCCAGCTTGCTGTGGTGTTGCTTTTGCGTCAGAAGCGGCTTGTCCGGCTGCGTCAGCTGCTGCCTTCATGCGTGCAACAGGTGAAACTTGCAACATGGAATTGCATCGACGGTCCTAAGTTAGAGCCGAAGTCATGTCATGTTGTGAACTCTCATGGCAGGGATGACGGCCGGCACGACTTCTGAAAATTGCTGTTGCATTGCCAGCCCTGAGGGATCTCAAAGCTTTGCTGCTCCTATGAGTCGCTAAATCGGCAACAAACATGTGCATTGCCTTAAGGGCTCAGTCAAGCCCACCGTTTTACTGAAGCGAGATGCCTTTGGGTTTGACAGTCTAGGGGCAACTGCCAACTGCGATCCTGCAGTGATTTTCCATCTGGCTCGGTAAGCACACATGATGCTGCTGAAAGACAGTGCAAGTGAAAGACAAGCATGAAGCCAGAATGAGAAAGGAGAGGGCTCTCGAACGAGTGATATCTTGGCATAACTTCAAGCGCACAAATGTCTTGACAACTTGTTGGAGAACAGCAAGAAAGCATCCTGAAATTCTTTGACAGTTCCCTAGCAACTCGACTCAACCCATCGTTGCCGAGCTCAAAGCGAGAGCCGGTATGCCACGGACACCAACAGCCCAAGCCAAGACCAGTGCCAAACTGCCTCTGCCGCCTGCTCTCTCAAGAGACCGGCTCGTGTTGCTGCTTGGCCTCGCCAGCACAAGGGTGAGTGAAGCGGTTGCTTTGCCTCGTCAAGACTCAAGACGTAATTGAACCTGCAGCGGTGGCAGCGGCGTTGACGTCGTCAGTGGCGCTTTTACCGGCAGTTCTTGCTGCTTCCGCTGCTGAAATCCTTGCATGCTCAGGCACGTTGCAGCATTGCATCATTGCACCTCAATCTTTAACTCCTGGACGGAGGCACATCTTATCACATCTTTTCGTCAAGCGTCCCAGCTTTGGTTGCCTGCCCCGCAGCCTCATGAACCCCTTCCGGGGTCAGCAAGGACTTAGCCACTGCCTCAACCTTGGCAACTCAGGACAGGGACCGCTGCAAATGCTGCACACGAAGTCCCCGTGTAAGTAAGAGCTCCGCCGTCAATGAGCACACGCCAGCCGTGGTGCCGCAGTGTCCCTCTTGACAGAGGCACTTACCTCCAACACAAACCTGAGTTTGCTGGATGCAGAGCTGGACAACTCCTGCATGATGCTCTATCTTGGAATCTTCGTCAAGAACCCCAGCACGTTTGCAGCTGAGACACCGTCGGCCCGCGGGAAGGATCGCAATAACCAAAGCTGCAGAGACCGCCCGTGTTCCTATGAAGCCACTCGCATGGGGGTAGGCCAGCAACAACGACACGCTTCTATGCTGCGAATGCCTGCGGTGAAAGTTAAGGAGTGCCCGCAAGCCTGTTGCACGTGGTGTTCTTGACAGCATGGCAGCCACAGCCTGAAGGCGTCCGCGACAAATCTGAAGAACTCATGGTTCTGGCACAGGCTTGAGGCGAGAATCAATTGTATTCTGGGTAGTTGTGCAGCTTGCCCATTGCCTCAGAGTAGCTTCTGCTTGCAGTTCGAGAGCGAAGGCAAAGATACGTCAAGAGCAAAGATATGTAAAGTACGCAGTGGGAAGCTGTTGGAGGAACATTAGCACATTGCCCAGAATGAATTGCGGCTTCAGCTGGCAAAGGCAGGTATGCACTGTATGCACAGTCGCCGTGTCAACTCGGGAGCCATGCTACGCACCAAGAATTTTGGAAGCCAAAGCCCTTCAGGTGCAAGCCTGACAGGTAACCCGGCATCTGCGTGCTGCGTGGCTAGGGGCAACTGTTCACCACAACAATTGTGTCTGTGATGTTGGTGGTTCTGCCCTGTAGCACTGAAAGCCTGAAAACCTGGAAAGCTGCTTGCCAAAGGGATGGAGATCTTGCTAATGAGTAACGAGCGCTTTAAATCTAAACAGGAAACCTGATTGGAGTTCAGGATGTCCTTGCTTTCCCCTGCATTTCTCGCTGACACAAGGGCTCTACAAAAAATCTAGAAAGCATCTAATTGGCCTTCAGATAGATTTTAGGACCTTCTGGCTTTACTGCAGAACCAGGTATCTCCTAAGTCCTAAGCTTCCAAAAGTTGAATCGCCAATCTACTCTTGATGAAATCAAAAATGGATCCCCAAATATGTCATATGTTAAAATTCCGCTAGTAATGAACAATGTTTTGGGCAGATGTTTTTGGGATGATTTTTTATTACATGGGACGTCGTCAATTTGCAAGACTTCCGTTCTTTTTCGTTTTCCCGAGGTTGCACGCTCTCCCAGAAGAAGATCCGGGCTTCAACCCCACCGCGTGGCTTTGGACCGAAAACCAAACCCCATCCCTTGCTCCGTTGCGTGTTGTGCTGGCGCGTGCTCGATGGTCAATAGTACTCCATGCGAAAAAAGCATCATCTAGCATAATTGCCGAGAAACCAACCTTCTACAGTGTCAAGCAATCCCTAACATCACTCAACTCATGGCGAGAGAGCAACCTTTGAATCTCATCGCGAGTACAGTAATGCGTTGCAGCGAAATGGGTTCATTCTTGCTAAGGACAAGTTCAGTTTTCTTGTGTCCAATCCTGCCTTGAAGAAAGAGTTGGCGGTTGAGCTTCGGAAGCGGGTTGTGGACCCGCCTGCAGTTGTTGATGTCATTCAGGATTTGGGCATGGATGGCACTTGCGGGCGTTTGAGAAGATTACCCACACAAAATAAGCGCGCCAGTAAAGCCCGTCAAAAGGTCTTCAAACTTGGCTTGTTTTGAGCGTGCTGCTCGACAGCGGTTGTTTCGAACCAACGCTTTTCCATCGCTTGTTTGAGGGCACCAACAGCTTGGCATGGCTCCTAGTCGGGTGAAGCAACTGAGGACTATGGCTGCCAAAGCGTCTGGCATGTACGTGGGCATTGGTCAAACGTACATTGCTATGCGGATGACATGGGCCCAGCATCAAGACCCCCTGAACTTCATTTTTCGTCAGCAGGTTAAGTTGTGGTTTCGTTTGTTTCGCTGCTTCCCCAAGGACGGCCAGGGTTTGCTCAAGATTGCTTGGCAACAAACCTTGGGAGTCGAAGTGGCAGGTTGTCAAAGGCCCTCTCGCGGGCTTGCAAGCTTCCCTCCTTGATGAACGGTGGTGTCCTTTGCAGCATGATTGTTGGTTGGGGCCTGATGGCAGATGGCAGTGAGTGCATACTTGACTACGATGATGATCTTGTTGCTGCGTGTGTTTGGGATGAGCTTCGGGAAACGCTTGAGTTACAGCAATGGGCCTTGGTTGACACGGAAATCCCTTTCCACGGGGTGCAGCATGGAGTCGACTTTACTGTGCCCAAGAGGATGCTGAAACAGTATCGCTCCAAGGGCCAGCATCGGCGGGCTAGTGCGTTGAAACTTGTGCTGCAGGGTCACTTGCATCAAGTCAGCAAGCTGTGTGAAACTTGTCCTTTGTGCGGTGCGGTTATGGATGGTACTCGTGTGTTGTGGGATTGCCCTGAGCTCAACAGTCGCCTGCCTGAACCTTGGCCTAGTATGTGGGAGCCCTTGCGCAGACAAGAAGGCCAGAAGAACTGTTTCTGGCAACGTGGCCTTGTACCGCAGCTGTGGACACACAACACAGGCACCAAAGAGTTGCAGCTGTCTCTCGAAAGTGTTTTTGCTCATGATTGCCCCTTTGATAATTCCCCTGATTTGTATTTTGGAGGTGATGCTAGCGGAGGGCCATTTTAATTTTCAGTTGACCCAAGGAAGCGGCGAGTTGCCTTTGCTGTTGTTGTGGTCCAATGGTGTGCTGAGTCATCCAGTTGGAAGACAGTTGGGAGCTTCGTTGCCAACTTGACTGGAAGTGTTCAAACGGTCCCACTCGGGGAGGCTACCGCACTCCTTGACTGTCTGCGGGCCACTCAGAACGCCTTCAGTTTCGTCACTGATGCTCAGTATGTCCTCAATCGGGCCCCCAAGTTAAGATGGTCAGCTGGCTCTTCCTTCGCTCGCCCCTTCTTTGGCGTGAAGTCAAGAATCTGGCGTGCGAACGTCAGGGAAACCTCCATGTTTTCAAAATCAATTCTCATGTTGAGAACCACAAATGGATGGCTGACAACCATACTGAGGACTTTTGGCAGTGGTTTGCCAATGAGTCAGCCGATAAGCTTTGTTCTGCTAGAGCTGCCACGTTAGCGAATGTTCATGCATGTGTCATGCAGGATTGAGCGGAGGAGCGTGTTGGAGACACCATGTTGCTATCATTGCAGCTTTGCAGGGCGACCCCAGGTATGCCAAGCAAAAGCAAGCTAAGCATGCTACTCGCAATCGTGAGACGAAAGCCATTTTTCTTGACCGCCTTCTCCATGCCTCCGGGAAAGCCGAGCTCGGCCAACATGTTTGGCAACGCAGCGCTGGTGGAGTGCATGCGCTAATTGCGGGTTGAAGGTGCGCAAATTGTTCCGGGTCTACAAAATCCATCAGCTGGTTGCAACCCCATGTTCGGCCACCAATTTTGAGATGTTCCGGGGAACCTGGAAGATCCATGGTAGTCATGATCTGGTCCTGACAGGGACCACTTGGCAGTGAAAGGGTTGTTCGAAGAAGAGACCCCTTACCCTCAGCTCCAGATTTAGCAAGGCTTGCGTGTAAGTCGGTCCGGACCTCAGTTCTGCATTGCAGCTTTTTTGTTAGGAAAAAAAGACGGGGAGGGTAGTCGGAAGCGCCGTGAGGAAGAGGCTAGCGGCTAGTCGCAAGATGCGCGAAGAGGAGGGCCGCAGGCGCCGCGAGGAGGAGGAGGAGGGAAGGCCGTGAGCGCCGCGAGGAGAAAAACCAGAATTGTCGTGAGGACAAAGTCACCGTCTTTGTGAACGGTGTCTATCCTGTCCCCCTCGTGTCGTCACTGGGCTCCGTTGAGGTCTTGGCGTGGTAGTTCTGTGTGGCTCTCCCCGTTCTTTTTCAAAATTGTGCTTCCCAAATTTATGATCTTCTATGCACTTCTTGAATGTGTCTCCCTCGACAAGCTTTGGGTTCCTCCACTCTCCCCAAGATTACGTCGGCCATGTCAAGCTCTTCCTCCTATCCCAGATGGTCCCTCACTCGCTTGCTGGAGTCTGAGCTGCTTGATTGCTTCGAGGACGCGCCATGCTTTTTCAATTCTGCACAATGCAATCTGGTCTGGAGCATCTTGCCTTTGCAGCACTACCCCCTCTACGCATAGGCATTCCAAAAGTCCAACCGTCCAGTGTCGTTTGCCGCCGACCCTTCCTCTTGCCGCCCCTTGTTCTGCCAGCTATATTATTGCGCAGCTTTGGTTCACAGGAATGTACCATGTCCATCGTCAGTCTTGTAACACACAAGCGTGCGACGTCGCAGTGGGTGGTCTCCTGTTTCCTATGCCTTGAGTCCTTGTACTCGTCCGCACGAGGGTCTGGTAAATAAAGTTCCCCTGCCTTTGGGCTGACGTTTGGTTAGCGTGAAACATGCAGCGATCTGGCCGACGTGAGGCCATATCGCTGACCGAAGCGGGGCGAAATCGTAAGGAAAGCTTTGAAACTTATATTAATATTCGGCTCTGTTCCGCGAGGCTTCCGCCCAATAGCCGCAGTATGCAGATGTCAAAGGTCGCAGCATAGACCATGCGATAGCTAGAGCAGTCGGTCATTGTTCGCAAGTTCTTAAAATACTGGCACAGAGCACATGTCACTTGAACGTCGGGAAGCCAGCCAAAAGCAGGTTAGCTGCTGGGAAGGGGTCGCGATGTCGATCGTCACATCATGTCACATCCAAAGCTTTAGGCACAATTGCCTCTGCGTTAATTGGTCCATGCTGGAGTCGACCATGCCCACATAGCTATCATACTCGCAGTGCATGAGCAAATCGGAAATGACCCGGCACGGTACCAAGCCCAAAGCAAACGTGGTATACGCCAGGGTTTCACACGAGAACCCAGCTTAGAGCTCCTTGTTGCGTTGGCCCTACTAGAAGCCCTTAGCTGCAGGATAATGGGCACAATCCAGCGGAGGATTTGCCTTGCAGCATACATTCGAAACAGTTCGAAACTCTGGACGAGCTGAATACATTTCGCACGATTCTACAGCACTGTCTCCTGTCAAGCCTGGGCCTCTATACGCAGCAAAAGAAAACCCAAGCCATGCGTGCAAGCAGAGATAGACAGGTGAGTAATGAATGCCAGCCATGTATGATCACGCTCCCCGAATTATGAGCAGCCCCTCTAACATCAAATATTCCCTTCGAGATCCCACAAGAGACTTTGCACATTGGGATAGAACTTATTTTGGTGGATTGGATGTGTTGCGGGTGATCTGGGGATGCAATTATTTACCTTGGTCCAAGGGGCCCATTCGCTCCCGGATGCGTTGTTGCAAAGGCCTTTTGCCCGGTAGTACCTGAATGTAGGTATGCGAGATAAGGGCACGCGCTTTGAAAACAGAAGATGTCAGGGTGATGCAGTGATGCATACATAATTTGCATCCAAGCATCTCGCACGTCCATCCTTAGTCCGAGAAACTAGCCATGGGCTCTGGCCGGCATTTGTTTGGAACAGGCATGGCAGAAGTCGCCTGCTTCTTCCATACCCCAGCCTCTTCCGGGGTTGACCCAGTCCACAAGCTCTACCCTGAACCCTCCCCAAAAGTGTGCACAGCCTCAGCCTCTGCTGCACCGTAGTAAGACATTGCTGATCAGGCGCAGAAGGAAACACACGCACACACACACACACACACACACACACACACTTATGCTGCAGTGGCAATTACAAGTGACTCTGTGGTGATTTTGCGATCCTGCGGTGTGGGGCGAGTTGGTCCTGTATGGCGGTGAGACATGAATGTTTTGGATTCCACCCTGTCTATCATGAGGCTGGATCGGCGAGTGCCTAGTGTTCTTGTTTGCCACATTGTGTCGCCAAGCGCTGCATTCTCAGCTGTTAACTTGTGTCTGCAACTGCGACATCGGATGTCCGTGCTTCATCACAACAACCTACATCACAAAGCTTTCCACACAACGCCGGTTGACAGCGCTCTCAGGAACCTTTTGCGATAGGGCACCAAATGCGGCTTTGTGGTACAGTGCACAGGCCACTAAGTCGGTTCAAGGTCATTACTCAAAGAGTCGACTACCACAGCAGGCCATCTCGCTCATGAAGATTGTGCGGTACGTTTGATGGCACAGCGTGTGCTCTCACATCTCCAGGCAAGCCATGAAAAAGGTTGAAGGCCCGCCTTCCAAACAAACGTTGCTCAGCCTCGTGGAGAACGATGCCACGCCACGAAGTATGCCAGAGCGGTGGCCATGGAGCGTTGTGCAGCCAACAAGCCCAATGGCTGGAGCTCATGTTCGCAAAGCCTTTCGTCTGCACAGGTTTGCAACTCCTTTCAACAAAGTCTCGGGCTTGGTCTAGCCAAAGTGAGGGCAAGAGTGGCTCTCGGATGCTGGCGCAGGGAAGGATGTGCAGTAGCCACAGTTGCGCATTGATAGCAGCTCGGATAGCAACTGAAGCTCGCTGATGGTTAGCACTAGAGCAGCATCTCAAGTGTCTGTGCGTGTGTTGTTAAAAGCGTGGAATTCTGTGATTCTGTCTTTCATTCGCAGAAAG